ATTGAGTCTACTAGGAATTTGATTGGGATCAAATCTCCTAATTTGATGATGATAATATCTCTTAATTAGGATAATATCTAAATTGGTGGTATTATCTTATTAAATAAAGATAATATCTCCTATTTAAGATATTATCCTGATTTTTAGTATTAATTAATTGGCCAAAGGTTCCATTAATTAACCTAAGGAATATTCTTCTTATTCACGTGGCGTCTTGTGATTAGAGACGAAAATATTTGCTCCCACAAGTATCCATTTACTTGTCATTTCTGTTTTTGCAGGAGTGGTGTGAATGTCAAATGATATTTCTACTGGGCTCTATTTGACGACTTTGAATGGGGGGAAGGCTATCGAGCTTTACTATGTTGACTACAAAGACAATCACCAGCGAATTCCTAAAGAGTCAGTTAAGTGGCTGCCTAAATTCCTAAACGGTGAGGCCTGATGTACTCAAGCTTAGACATAATAACTACAAGAAAAATACTCTACCACAACACATTATTAACAACGTGCGTAAGTTTGCGTTGTGAAATTAGGCTTTTAACAACGTACAGAGTATGTGTGTTGTGTTATATCGCTTTTAACAACAGACTATAAATGCGCGTTGTTGAAATGGAATTTCGAGGATATTTTAACAACGCATCCTGGCGTGTTGTTGTATCTGGAGTTCAACAACGCTCAGCTCATGTTGTCAAAACTATATTACTTTACTACAGTAAAATGCTCCTAAAAGAAACTATCTGAAAGGCCCACAGATGAAGCACGAAGACTTGGTGAGTACTTTAGGCAGTACTGTTGCATGGCCAAAAACCAGAGAGGCCACAGCCCACACACCCTTTCCTACTACTTATTGTTTCAGCTTTGCTTTCTCAACGTTCTCTTTCCCCTTTTCTTTTTTCTTTTTCTTATTATTCCTTTCCCTCAGACTCTAAAGTTGATATTTTCCTCTCACTATTTTGGAAATTCTTAGGCATCTCTAATCTGTATGCTTCTGTGAGACAGAGAGAGACGGCTTGAGCTTGAGCTTACCTGCTTAACCAAAGGGGCCAATTTTCTCCATTTAGAGTCTGCAATTTTCTGCTCGGTCATTGTTTTGATTCAAACAAAAATTATAAACCGCTGAGACATATCAGAAAATTTAAAATATTAGTTGCAAATTTCATATGTGTGATTGTATCCTTAAATGTCACTGTGACATGTGCAGAATGTGTTCGATATGTTGTACTCATTTGTTTGTTCTTTTGGTTTAGAATTACTGCATAATTGATGCAAGTAGGTGACAGAGGAGAATCATTTGAATTTGTTTCATTTATACTTTACGTCTTTTTTTTTTTAAGAAAGTTTCAATAAACAAAGTTAAAAACCAGGGATACACTCCTCAAAAAGGAGATCTTGAAGTAAGTCAGGAGGCTCCAAGAGCCAGAGACAATCCTGGCTCACGCTTACAGCAAAGTGAGAGAGCCTACTAGCTACTCTATTACAAGTTTTTGGAACGTGGGCCACAGTGGCCGAATGGAAATGAGATAAGAGGGCCCCGCAATCAGCAAAGAGGACACCTAAAGGAGAGTCAAAGGAGCTGGCTTTCCTGACTGCAAGCACAGTTTTCTTTGAGCCACTTTCGAAGTTTGCATGGGTAATACCCAGGTCAGCAGCAAGTTTCATGCCCGCTAGCAGAGCCACGACATGGGTCTGATCAGAGCACCCAAGGTTGTCGCGCTTCCAGGCACCAGTAGCCAGAACAGCACCAAACTCGTTCCTGATCACCACCCCAAAACCCCCAATACGGTCATCGGCACGCCAAAAGCCGTCGACGTTAATCTTGGAAAAGCCTTCCAACGGAGCAGTCCAACGAGGAGGGAGGACATGGTTGGCCTGGGGTATACGACTAACATTATTGATATGATGAAAATCGCTCAACCAAGACTGAGCCAGAGCCACCAGGCAAGCAGGACTCGTACCAGTGCCCTCCCAAAGTCGGGAGTTGCGGTCTTTCCATAAGGCCCAGAGAGTCATTAACACCAGAGAAGAGCTATGGGTAGGCAGAAGCTCAAAAGTGGATTTTAGCCACCCCATCATGTTGTTGGCTGAGACCCCCAAAACTCTGGAACCCACAGGAGATGAGGTTTATTTTGTTGAAGTTGATGAGGTTTGGTTATGATGCATTAATTTTTATAAGAATATTTATTTCTGCGTTAGTGATATTAGTTTATTAAGCTTATGTGAATCTATGATAATTAATGGTCATTCTCCATCAAGCAACTGTCTACCAAAATCAACATCAATGGACCATCTTGCTAATCTAGTCCTGTAGTGAACTTGTGATATTCATAAAAAAGAGTAAGAAGTGTAAAAGGGAGATATAGATATAACTGGCGATATAGATATAACTGGCCAAAAGAAAAGGGTTAGTATCTGCATAAAACAACAAATCCATCCATTAATTTCAAAAACTTCCAAAATCATATAGAAAATTGGAAGAATTAAAAGGAAATTCTGGAAGAGTAAAGAAGAAGCCACCAGTTATATATAAATGCTTAGGCATACACACATAGAATCACATGAAGTAAAAGGTCTTGAATCAAAACCCGTGACTTATATCTGTTTGTTTTATATGTTATAGAAAGATATAAAGACGTGCAATGAGTCGAAAGAGAATCCACCATCGAGAAATTCTATACGAGATGATGCTATAGCAAGAGTTATAGGACCTGAAAGTCGTGGCCGAGTTCGAGGGCTTGGGTTTGGTGCAACACCCTCTAGAGTAGATGCAGTAATTCAAGGCAGCGGACGAGTGAAGGAACTTGAGTCCGTAGTGAAATCTCAATCTCAAAGGATGGAGCTAATTGAAGCCAAACTTGAAGCATTTATTAAAATGTCTCAAGAGGTATACAACTCTTAAAATAATTTACGAAGCATTTATTCATATAGTTATTTATTAAATCACAAATTTTTTCTCAAGCTTCTCTTTAATTGTTTACAGCCTCACAATAAGAATGTGGAGGATATGATAAGTGCACATGCATGTACTCAAGTAAGTATATATTTTTCATGATAATTATAGCATGATTTAGTAAACTGTGAGATAGCTTATAATTTCTAAATTATTGTCCTCTTCCATTGTATTTCATATAGTCACAACAAGGAAGCCGTCATGTACAAGATAAAAGTTACAATGTGAATTCAAGATGTGGTCAAAGTAGCAATCTTGAGTATGGAAGATGCCAACTCTTACACTGGTACAATTTTGAGCTGGAGCAAGTTGTAGCTGAGGGACATATTGCCTCAACAGACCCAAGTGTTAAAGTTCATCATATGCCTCTTGGACGCGATTGTTGGAAGGTTTGGGTTGATGAAGTGCTTGATGAACAACTTAACTTGTATAGGCCCACAGATGAAGCACGAAGACTTGGTGAAGCTTTAGGCAGTACTGTTGCATGGCCAAAAAGCTGTATAAAATTGCTTCACTAAGGTATTTTTCAATTTACTTTGACATTGAACATTCAAAGTTTCTATATAACATAATAATCCCTTTTTTGCTACATATGTTATTTTTTCAGGTGCTTAGACTATGTTTGACAATGCTTCCAAATTGCAATACTCACCATTTTGACAAGGATTTTGAGGTGCAACTAACCAAGTTTCTAAAGCATGTTTCAGCAAGATCTGAGTGCAATCAATCATGTTTTTAGATTATTTTGACAAGGATTTTGAACTGTAATTATATGCATAGAACAATCATTTTGCACAATTAGAATAATTGGGATGAATATAACTTTGTAATATGTATGGAACTCCTTATTTATCTTTTGAATGAAAGCTTTGTATTCTGGGATGCCTTATGAATGTGAAGTAAGGAAATATTTATGTTTATCATAGAGCTTCTATTTATAGATAAATTATACTTTTATCAGGTAATTTTGATAATTATTTTTAAAAAAAACATATATATTTGATATAACAACGCGCATTGCTTGTTGTCAAAACATAAACAACAACGAGCACAGACATGTTGTCATAATATTATAAGACGACACGCTCGGCACGTTGTTGTCAATCGCTCCTACAACGTGCGCGTGTTGTGGTTAATGTTGTTCACAACGAGCGCCAAAATAAACGACGACGTTCAACGCGTGTTGTCGAAAGCCCTACACCTTTTAACGACATCGGCTTCAACAACGTGCGCCGCATGTTGTCAATATGTTTTCACAACGCACATTGCGCGTTGTGAAAGGACTTTTTTCTTGTAGTATAAAGCTCTAGATATATAGGTTGAGTGGGAGAGAAGTATAAAAAAAGGAGTGCCCTGAATGTTCACTTAGGCTGCTATAGTTTCTTGTAGTGTCTTTGGGAATGCCCTATGATGTTCAAGTTCAATAAAGATATAATTTGTTGAGCTTTCCTTATTGATAAAGAAATTTTACTTTCGAGTAAATGGATGGAGGAATGTGTGTGGTAATTACGTTAAGAAAGTATGCTACAATTTGAAAATATATCGCACTGAAATATTGGCAATGATTTGGAGTGGCTACAAAGTTATTACAATTCAATATGATATCCCCCGCAACATAAAATGATAAGCTTAAAACCAGAAGCACTGCAAGCACAACTATTCCAGAAGCACTACGTTGTTTTCCTCCAATGGATAAGCAATATGATATGCCAGACCAACGGACAAGCAATTCCCACCAAACTTAACAACTCCCTTTTCTGATTCAGTTCTCAAACAAAAAGGCAACTCACCTGTCACACTAATATTTGATACATCAAGATTACATGTTTGCTTCCACAGCTTAGATGGCCACTCAACAAATTTATATTGTTTTATAGGAATTAGATTTACATTGTTTATTGCTAAACTTGGGAACAATACATACCCGCAAACAGTACTTAATACGTAGTCATAGCTTTAATTGGGACATAAAAAACATAATTACTGCAGGAGGTGAAACAATTAACAGTAGCTAATACAGTTGGCACACAGGACGCGAGAACATACATAATCAAGGATAATGATAACCTTCATCACTTTTAGGAGCCTTGTAAGCCAGGATGGCATATAAGGTTTGAATGAAGGTCAAACCCAAACCCAAGAGGGCACCAGCAAATGCCAAAGTTGACCATGGATTGTTGAAATAATCACGTGCGAGAATTGTTTTCCATCTATTGAAGCGACGGTGATAATGCTCATTCACTTTGTCAGTGAGCTTTTTATAAGAGAAATGGCCAGGGATGGTGTTATTATAAAGCTTATTGATAAAGCTAGCTATATCCTCCTTGCTTAAAGCGGTATCTAAAATTATTTTCTGCATCAGAATGTCCACATCCGAGCTGGTGTTGATCAGGTTATCCAACACCATAGCATAAGATGTAATTTCCATTTCGTCCGAGCTGGCTTCGCACTGCTCGTAAACAATGAGATTTCTTAAGAGGGACTCGCCATTCTCGTGAACCACGATCGGTGGAATTTTCATAACTCCATTTTCAAAGGTTATGTTGAGCATGCTATCGTTGGTAAGTTGAAATTTGACTCCAGCTTGTAGAAGCTCCGTAACACAAGGGATTTGATTCAGAACTGGGTTAGTATGAATATTACTATCCTTTTGTGTTCCTCCTACTAAACATTTTCTCATAAAGTCAAGTAAATGCTTGCTTCCCGCCGCTTCTTCAATTCTCTTTGGATATTCCCCTATGGTGTAATACTCAAAGTAGTTGAGAGTAAGCTCAGATAGAGAAGGTTCATCTGTTTCATCGTTTTCCCTTGTGAGCTTGAATAAACAGTCGAGAACTCTCCAAGGAATCTGATTTTCATGTAGAAGCAGGTCGTACAGGAGCGCCGTGATCATCCATGACATGTTGAACACAGGATCATCCCTTTCTATGAAAACTTCTCTCGCAAACTTTCCAGGGGTAACAGCAGTAAAATACTTGCGGAAGAGTTCAATTATAAAGCAACCATCAACTACCATAATTTTCACGAATTCATCACTACTTAAATTAACCTTTTCTCCGTAGCAATCACGACAGTATTTTTCCATGCTTCTAATGCCTTCCACAAAGGACTTCAAACTGGCCTCCTGATTGCCTCTGCGCTCGAGGAGACAATGCAAATACCATTGTTTAATTTATTCCATGGCTTTCAGACCTTCTTCTCCATGATGAAATGGGCCAATGGAAACTAAGTTTGGCACAAAAACGTTTTCATTCTGCTTGCGAAATATATGAGGGATTCTAAATATGCAGTTACATGCGAGTGAAGAACAGTGTTTTCAAAGGCATGCCTTCGCGCGCGTCGGAGTGCGCTTCGGAGTGAGGCGGGAGGAAAACGCCCGAGGCGGTCGGCTATTTCGCGAGTTGCACGTTTAGCGCTGGGAAGGCGTGAGAAGGCGCTGCAAGGCGTGGCTAGGCGAGGCGAGGCGTTGCAAGGCGCACCATATCTGGAAACTTCTGAATCGGAAGAAATTTTCGACTCTGCAAATCGTCTGCGAGGAAGACGGCGTCGCGAGGAAGACGACCTGCTTTTTTTTTAGGTTTATTGAAAATGAAACGACGTCGTTTTGATTGCAGTGGTTTTAAAAAAATCTTAAAGTGAAACGATGTCGTTTCACTTGGTGTTGAAAAAAAAAAGGGAAATAGCGGTATATGCCACTGATTTTATAATCTCAATTAAAAATACCACTGCTCCCCAATTTTTGTACAACTATCACCTATAAATATAAAATTATTGTCCACTTATTGCTGAATTTTCACAAGTTCAGAAAGTTTGTTCTCTCTTAGGTCACTCAGCTCTCTCTCTCTCTCTGGCACATCTCTCTTTCTCTTTAGTTTCTGTCTAACGCAGCTCTCTGTGTCTCTCTTGGCTCTCTCTCTCTTGGCTCTCTCTCTCTCTAGCGCAACTCTGTGTCTCTCTCTTTGCTCTCTTTCCCATAGCGCAGCTCTTTCTCTCTCTCTTTCTCCCTGTATTCGGTCTCTTGCTCTCTGTTTGGAATCGGAACCCCTCCCTTTAGGTATGTCTTCTGAATAGCTGCTTGCAACCTTGAAGCTTTAGTGGATTGCCGACCTCGAAAAGGTAGTGTTGATGGTTATTTTCTTAAAATTAGTGGGATTATGTGAAATGGGTTATA